AACGTTTGAGGAGTGAGTCAAAGGTGGTAAAAAGGTGGCTGGGATTACAGGCATGGGTTTCAGTTAATTTGGAGAAGTAGTGTTTTAGCTAGGAAGGTGGTAGAATTGAATGAGAAGGAAAATTTTATAGTGAAGAAAGCCTAGTCACAAGATTTCTGCCAGAAAGACTCCACAGCATGATAGCAGGAGAGGAGGAAGTGGCTGTTGGGCTGGAGAGTTGGGTTCTGCAAATGAAATCATGGTCGTCTAATCTATTAGAATTCTCTGAACAGGCCAATACAGTAGTCGATGAACAAGACCCAGTTAATGTAATTTATTTTGGCTTTGACAAAGTACCTACCAAGGAACTATTGAAAAAACTAAGTAGTTTGAGAGGCAAAGTACTGTCATGGATCAGAAACTCTGAGACAAAAAAAATAGAGTAAGAATAAATGGTCAATTTTCATCATGACAAAAGGTTAACAGCAAACTGCCTGAGGCTCTGGGCTAGGTCTGGTGGTGGTCATTAGATTTGTTAATTTGGGGGAAAGGGGTGAGCAGTGACTGAGGTGGCAAAATTTGCAGATGACAGTTTGAGTTAAATAAGACTGGGAGAAGCTTCAGCACAGACTTAACTTAGGTGAATGAGCAACACAGTGGCAGATGTAATTCAATGTTGACAAATGTAAAGTGCACATAGGATTTTAACTATTCTCACACGTTACTGGATTCTGGTTAGCTGTAACAACTCAAGAAAAATACAGCATTTTTGAGGACAGCTGAATGAGGACCTCTGTTCAATATGCCGCAATGGTCAAAAAAGCAAACAAACTAAATATTAGGGTGCATAAGGAATGGGATAGAAAATATCTTATAATGCTGTTCTATAAATCAAAGATATTCCCTTATCTGAAATACTGTATTCAATTGTGCCACCCATTCTTTAAAAGGACGTGTCAGAATTAGCAAAGGTTCAGAAATGTGCGATGAAAATGATTAGAAGGATGGAAAAACTCTCATGAAAAAAGATTAGGACTGTTTACCTTAGGGAGAAGACATAACAAATGGTATGGAGAAGGTAGATCAGCAACTGCATCATATAGAAGCAAAGACAATAATTTGGGGGGATAAGATTTTACTAATAAAGCTGAAAATGTTTTAGATGGACTTGTTATAAAGCAATATTTGATCTTCTCTTTTTACTTAACAAAATAGTCTCGACTGAAAATAATATATGGATAGTTTGGGTAGGAAGGAAATATGGCAAACATTTTCAGTGCAAATTTTAATCCTCTTCCTAAAGTAAATGTACATAGGAGCATGAGCAAAGATTCTTGAGTATTAGTTTGTATTTGGCAAATAACTTTTTTGGCCAACTGTTTTGCATTTTGATTTCAGGCACAGAGAGATCAGAAAAAGGATCGTCCTCTTATGCGACGCAAGTCAGAACTGCCTCAGGATATCTACACCATGAAAGCCTTGGAATCCCATTGCAGAGCTGATGAGCTAATATCACACGATGGGCATTAGACTATTACAGTGAAATATTATTTTGGAGGAAAACTTTTTTCTGGACTTGGTTCTACAGTAGAGAACTTACTTTTTTGTGCCATACCAATCAGTTACACAAAAGTCAAAGCTTTCTTCAACCCAGTTCTGTAGGCAATAACTTAATACAGTATGCAGCTCAAGATTAGTAGTTCAAACAATGGTAAATTACTTGATTCCATACGCAGAACCATGGGTTGACTAGTATTAGGTGGCCACGTTTTTCTGGTGGTGTTGTCAAAGTACCAGTTGGTAACATGCGTAGTTTTATAGTAGTACTTGAGAATAACATTCTGTAAGTTATTTCCACCAAAATTGCAGTCATTTGAATGACTGATAGTTGGTACTATGATAACACTGTTTTCAAAAGCAAAATTCTTTCGGATTTAAGTATTACATGTTTTTCTAAGACTTCTCAACTTTGAAATTGTTTCCACATTACTATTGTCTTGTAATATACCAGCAGTTTTGAAAATACAGTTCTTTACTTTCCTATTATAAAACACAGCTTACAAAATGGTAACTTCATGACAATCCTCAATCATGGTTGCTTTCTAAGAGTTCTGTAAATTGTTCCTTTACTTAGGATAAAGACATATATATACCATGTCCTAGTACTTTACATGTATTTAAAGCCATATTTTCCAGTCTTTAGTATGTAATACAGCACCAGTATTCCAAAAGTCAATTGGTAGAAGAATTTGTTTCCTAAAATGAAAATTTATCTACCTTGACTGGGAATAAATTGAATATAAAAATATTTATATTTTGATTTTCATTCCTTGTTTTCAGTTTAGTAAAACACTGTTTCTCCCTTATCTGAGCTTTTAATACTCAGCATTTTTTCTTGGGCTCTAAGAGTTCAATATTCTGTGGCAGATACCATGATGTCATTTAAGTTGCATTAGTCTTCTCAGACAGACAAACATTGTTGCCTTTCAGTGAAACACAACACCAATAGCTTGTATTATAAAGTAAAAACAGGTAAAAGATGTGAGTTTAAGAGCTGATAAATCAACAGTGACCATAGTTTTACGTGAATATATTTTTGTGTGTTGTAAAGAGCACATATATTACAAATACACCTCACAGGTAAAATTAAAATGCATCTGAGTTGCTGATGATCTTCAAATGCTGCTATATATTCCACAAGATTACTTGCATGTAATGAGCTTTTTGTTGTAGATGGAAAAGCACGGGAGGAAAATCTCTTTAAACATATAGTGCTTTGTCTTCAATATTTGATTTCTCTCAGGGTGGCCAGTATTTTGACTTACTTATCCTGCTTAAGAGCTGTTTGAGATGTGTTCTGCTATTCTAAATGGGTGACTAGTTTCTTTTGTCTCTGGCAGTAACATAATATAACTTTAATGTTTAATGTCTTGATGCATAAACAGATAAAAATGTGGCTTCTTTAAAAATAGTTTGTTTTATTTTTTAAAAAAAAGAGGTCTCCTGCATCCATAAAAATATTGTGCAAAGCAGACATTCATTGTAACATTGTGCAGATGTAGTGCCTGCTGTCTGTTGGTTGCATTGAAAATACAATGTCCAATATTTATTACATTGTCTATTGGAAAAAGTCATTTTAGTGGGTGGGAATTATTGCTAAAAAAAAAAAACTAAATTGAAAGACCACCTAAAGCTTCAAGTGGAAAAGTCCACTGTGTGTGAAAACACTTCCTGTTAAACTTGAAAGAGAATATGCTTTACCATTATGATAAACTATATTAAAACCGTTTAAAGATGCCTTCTCCTTTTGAGGGAAAAAGGGTGCTTTTTTAATTGTATAAAGCAATGTCTATGTATTTTGATATACCATTGTTTGAACTTCCATCTTTAGCTGGTAAATTATCAAATAATTTGATTTTGGGTGTTCAATATGTTTGTGCAAGAGGTTTCTGGAAAGAAGTACTCTTATTTTACCCTGGGAAAAAAACTTGTATATCAATGTTTGATTGTGTAACGCTCAACATATAAGAACATCTTTTACTGTCTAGATTTTATTTCTGTTCTTTACTGAAGATAAACATTCAACCAAAAAAAAAGGAAGGGGATACAATTTTTTTTTTTAATTAAAGTTTGTCAGAAATTCACATTTGAGGTTTTGGGCCATAGAACATTTGCCTAGACAGTATTCCAAAAATTATCGGCACTGATTGTTTGGCTTGTTTGTTACCATCATTTATATATTTTGTATAGTCATGTACTAAACTACTCTAAAACTACTACATCCAAAATAAAAAGTAAAAATAAAGTAGAATTTTGGTGGCTGTTCTTCTTCATAAAGTTCTGTGTTTGACACCTTTCCATGTTCTCAAAAATTACATCTGTACATCAGAAATGTCAAGAGTAATATTACAAGTGTCTTTTTAGTGTGGCTTTAGTATGGCTTTATTTTAATATTGTACATACATTGTACTTTGTTTTATGGTAATAAGTAATAAAAATGTAGACTTCATATTTTGTACAGAATGGTCCTATGTACAGAATAAAAAGTTCCTAGAAACAGCAAAAATAGGTAAGTGGCACAATTATTTTTCATTAGACAATATCTGTAACTTTGTTTTAGTAAAATGTTAAGTTCAAATGTACCTACATATTTTTTAACATTTTGTAATTCAGATTTTGTTCTGACCTTGTTTATGAACAACCTTCATACACCTGCCATTTATTATGCTCTTTTATCTAATTTTAAAATTCTAAAAATGGTGTATTATATGGACTAAATAAAGAACATGTGAATTTTACTTGCTGATCATGAAACTAAATTTAGCACAGAACCTTCTGGTGAGTGTGCAGACTACCACTGGTTTAAAAATCATCCACAATTTTGAGACAATAGCACATAAGTTAAAGAATAAAATTGCAGTTCAGTATTGGTGCCTTTGAAAGTTACAAGTAAATTTATGGTAAGTCTTAGAAATAAATTAGCATCAAGTTCTGGTTATTCTCTACCATAAATAACCTTAATTTTTAGTGCAGGTATCAAGTACTGCATTAAACCCAAAAACTATTTTGAAGAATCCCTCAAACCATCCTACAAATACCAAAGAAAAACACCTCTTATACCACATTATCTTCCCTATAAAAACTTGAAATAAGTATCTGTTGGAAGGATTTCTAGCAAAGCAGGAGCAAAATTAAGGATTCCCAGTAAGACAAAAGGAGAGGACAGCATCAGATGGTGCAAATAGATGCAGCAAATACATTTTTTTTTTTTTTAATCTAGTATTTTTCTTCCAGTTTACAATTGATAGTTCTTGGATCATCAGAGGATCTTCAGTACTTTATAAACACTCACAATACCCTGTGTGGTACAGTAACTCCTCACTTAACATCCTAGTTATGTTCTTGAAAAATGCAATGTTAAGTGAATCCAATTTCCCCATAAGAATTAATATAAATTGGGGGGGAGAGGGCGGGGGGGGAGATTAGGTTCCACAGAAGTTTTTTTTGCCAGACAAAAGACACATACATATACAGTATAAGTTTTAAATAATTTTAAACAAACTGTTTAATACTGTACTCACCAATGATGATTGTGAAGCTTGGTTGAGGCAGGGGCGTAGTGGGGTCGGGGCACAGGGGCTTGCCCTGTTCCACCCGCCCGCTTCCCAACAAGAGCACCAGGCAGGTGAAAAAGGGCCAGGCCTACGCCTCCACCCCGCTTCCCGGCAAGTGCACCAGGCAGGCGAAACAGGGCCAGGCCTGCGCCTCCACCCCGCTTCCCAACAGGAGCACCAGGCAGGCGAAACAGGCCAGGCTTGCGCCTCCACCCCGCTTCCCGGCAGGAGCACCAGGCAGGCAGAACGGGGCAAGGCCCCATGCCCCGACCCTGTTCCCCAGCTGGAATGCCCGGCGGAGCGGCACAAGACCCCGGTCCCCGACCCGCTCCCCCAGCAGGAGCACCAGGCAGGGGAAGCCAAACAGAGTTATAAGGAAACATTGCAGGACTTTAAAGGAGTATGTTCTCTAACAGGTCAGCAACCTAATAATGAAACTACTTAACTGGGATGACGTTAAGTGAGGAGTTACTGTATGTAAGTGTATACAATAAACCCATGAAACATTTAAAAACTAGTTCAAAGAATGCTTTTACAGTAACAGATTAACACTCTCCAGGCATCCTCTAATCATTTTTACAGTCATAGTAAACAAAAACTGGAAATAACCAGAACTTGCAGTTGGAAATCTAATTTCCAAAAGCATTAACACACACGGTGTCCCTAGACCAAGGTGCAAAGAAGACCAAACATTGCCAATATAAACAATTGATTATTTCAGCCAAATATCTGGGGAGGGAGGGATGCATTTGTTTTTTTACACAATTCTCCATTTTTAGTATGAATAGGATGAATATCTGATTTGGAGTTGAATTGTATACATTTAGTGTATTTGTGAATTATTGAAGATCACAGATAATGCCTTTAATTTTCAAATACATAGCAAATTAAGAAATGTCATTCTGTTCTATCATATCACAGCATCTGGACTCTTGTTACTTTTCACTGCTGAGTCAGGTAGGGGTTGCAATTTAACTCTAAGGTAGCTAAATGTTTTATGTATATACAATACATTTGCATACACAATTAAGTATTTTTGTGCATAGGTGGTTATTTCTAAAGTTAATGTGTTATGGTTTATTTTTTCATTGTTTGATATATTTGAAAATATGCAAGTATTTTGTATTGGAGGGAGGGACTTCGTGTCGCAGGGTGAGGGTTTAGTTTGAGCTGGGCTCAAATACTTGATCACCCATATCTTGCTGTTAAAAATAAATTCTGGTTTCTTCACTTATAATGAATGCAAGAATTCATTTAATATATACCTGTAAAACATTTGCCATTAGTGAATAATATAATTAGGGCTGTCAAGCGATTAAAAAAATTAATCATGTATATTCATGATGCTAATAATAAAATACCATTTAATTAATTATTTTTGGGTGTTTTCTACATTTTCAATTATTTCAATTACAACAGACTACAAAGGGTACAGTGCTCACTTTACATTTATTTTTTATTACAAATATTTGCATTGTATAAAAGAAAAAATAGTATTTTCAATTCACCTAATACAAATAATGTAATGCAATTTCTTTATCATGAAAGTTGAACTTACAAATGTAGAATTATGTACAAAAAAATAACTGCATTCAAAAATAAAACAATGTAAAACTTTACATCCTACAACTCCACTCAGTCCTACTTCTTGTTCAGCCAATCGCTCAGACAAACAAGTTTGTTTACATTTGCAGGAGATAAAGTTGCCCGCTTCTTGTTTACAATGTCACCTGAAAGTGAGAACAGGCATTCGCATGGCACTACTGTAGCCGGCATCGCAAGATATTTACATGCCAGATGTGCTAAAGATTCATAAGTCCCTTAATACTTCAACCACCATTCCAGGGGACAAGTGTCCATGCTGATAACAGGTTCTCCTTATTAACGATCCAAAGTAGTCTGGACCGACGCATGTTCATTTTAATCATCTGAGTCAGATGCCACATCAGATGGTTGATTTTCTTTTTTGATGTTTCGGGTTCTGTAGTTTCCGCATTGGAATGTTGCTCTTTTAAGACTTCTGAAAGCATACTCCACACCTTGTCGCTCTCAGATTTTGGAAGGCACTTCAGATTCTTAAACCTTGGGTTGAGTGCTGCAGCTATCTCACATTGGTACCTTCTTTGCGTTTTGTCAAATCTGCAGTGAAAGGTTCTTAAAACAAACGTGCTGAATCATCATCCCAGACTGCTATAAAATGAAATATATGGCAGAATACAGGTAAAACGCAAAGCAGGGGAGACATACAATTCTCCCCCAAGAAGTTCAGTCACAAATTTAATTAATGTATTTTTTTTTTTAACAAGTGTCATCAGCATGGAAGCATGTCTTCTGGAATGGTGGCTGAAGCATTGATGTTTAACATATCCGGCACGTAAATACCTTGCAATGCTGTGCCGTGCGAACGCCTGTTCTCACTTTCAGATGACTTTGTAAATAAGAAGCAGGCAGCATTATCTCCTGTAAATGTAAACAAACTTGTTTATCTTAGTGATTGCCTGAACAAGAAGTAGGATTGAGTGGACTTGTAGGCTCTCAAGTTTTACATTGTTTGGTTTTTGAGTACACTTATGTAACAAAAAAAATCTACTTTTGTAAATTGCACATTCACAATAAAGAGATTGTACTACAGTACTTGTATGAGGTGAATTTAAAATATATTTCGTTTATCATTTTTACAGTGCAAATATTTGTAATAAAAATAAAGTAGGCACTGTACACTTTGCATTGTGTTGTAACTGAAATCAATATATTTGAAAATGTAGAAAAACATCTAAAAATATTTAATAAATTTCAATTGGTATTCTATTGTTTAACAGTGCACTTAACTGCAACTAATCACAATTTTTTTATGGTGATTAATTTTTTTAATCGGGTGAGTTAACTGCGATTGACAGCCCTAAATATAATATGCTGAGTTCCATTTTTCATTCTAATTCCCCTTACCCTCTCATTTGGTTTCATTTTAGTTATTAAAATATTTTCTCAAAATAATCTTAGCTTGAAGGTGCCTTTTTAAACTTCAGCCCCATTTTCCATGTAGTTTTTTTTCCCTTGTTTGCCTTGTTACATGCAAATTACCATCAATGCCTAAGTTAATGCATGCCATAAAGTATGCACATAGAGGTGTATTAAGTTTGGCTTGTTCCACTACTCGACACAAAGCTGTCCTCGGGAGCCATGTTATAGGTGAAACCGCATTATATTGAACTTGCTTTGATCCGCCGGAGTGCGCAGGCCCGCCCTCCCGGAGCACTGCTTTACTGCGTTACATCCGAATTCATGTTATATCGGGTAGCGTTATATCGAGATAAATGTCCTTTGCAATACACCTCTCACCTTTTGGAATATTGACTGCCTGATTTATTTTTTCATCCTTAGTGTTGTACCGCAGCTGGTCTTTGCATATTATAAAATAATTTTAAAATCTGTTTAACTATGGAGGGCTAGATGTTAGAAGCTAATGGAGCTCAACTCTAAAGCCACAGCTATCAGCTACGTTGTAGTTTAGTGCAGTGGTTTTCAAACTGCGGGTTGCATAATGTAAGGCACTGGGATGCGGCGGCTCTGGTCAGCACTGCTGACTGGACCATTAAAAATCCTGTTGGAGGTGCTGCCCGACTAAAGCAGGCTAGTTCCTACCTATTCTGACACTGTGCTGCGCCCCGGAAGCAGCCAGCAGCAGGTCTGGCTCGTAGGTGCAGGAGGCACGGGGCTCTGCGCGCTGTCCCTGCCCCGAGCACCAGCTCTGCACTCCCATTGGCCGGGAACCAGCCACTAGGAGCTGGGGAGGTGGTGCCTGCGGGCAAGAGCTGCACAGAGCTGCTTGTGCGCCTCTGTCTATGAGCCGGACCTGCTGCTGGCCACTTCCAGGGCACTGCGTGGTCCGCGGTGCCAGGACAGGCACGAAGCCTGCCTTAGCACCCCTGCTGTGCCACTAACCAGGAGCTGCCTGAAGTAAGCCTGTATCCCAGTCCTGAGCCCCCCAACCCAGAACCCTTTCCTGCCACTAACCAGGAGCTGCCTGAGGTAAGCCTGCATCTCAGTCCTGAGCCCCCCAACCCAGAACCCTTTCCTGCACCCCAAATCCCTCATCCCTGGCCCCAGCCCAGAGCCCTGACCCCCTCCTGCACCCCAACCCCAGCCCTAATCCTCTCTCACACCTCAAACCCCTCATCTCCAGCTCCGTTGGGTCGTGGGCATCAACAATTTTCTTCAACTGGGTCGCCAGAAAAAAAGTTGGAAAACCACTGGTTTAGTGCAACTAATATACTGTACGGTGCAGTACCATCCACTGCTCCCAGGCAGTCCTGATAAGGCTCAAACTGCCACAGCCTCTGGTCTCCTGCCACTGCAATACACAGGCTATGTCTACACTACACACCATTTTCAGCAGTATGTAGCTACACGTGTCACTGAAGGGCTCTGGTGCGGGGAGGCAGCAGGGAAAGGCTTTAGCAGCTCCCCACCGCTGGAGCCTTTTACTGCAGCAGGGAAAGGTTCTGGCAATGTGGAAAAACTCACTGGGGAGCTTTCGGAGCCTTTCCTTGCAACGGGGAAAGGCTCCAGCAGCAGGGAGGCACTGGGACACTACGTTGCTAAAAATAATATGGACAGGAAAGCACAGCTTGGGCTAGTAGAGAGCCTTGTAGTGTATGCACTCAGGTACATACCCACACCCTCCAGGCGTGTCTACTCTACTCACCTAAGCAGTGCCTCACTGTCTACACTGCTACTTAAACCTGTACTGGGAGGCTGCCCGAGTACATATTCTACACACTGCCAAAAGAAGCGTGCATTGTAGACATGGCCATAGACTGCAAGCAGCAGAGGGAGGAAGCACAGAAAAGGGAATAAGGCTTCTGTGGGGTTATTTCACATTAATCCACAGAGGCAGAATCTAGGGTTCCCTGAATCTGCTTGTCGCTACTCTTTTCCTTCTACCTCTACATTTGGTTCTGAGCCTGGAGGTGGTAGGTGGAAGGAAGGGAAATGGTTCTGTGCCTGGGGATGGATGGGCTTCCTGGACTTGGAAGATTTGAGGAGGGCTTGTCACCTGGCAGGGACAGAGTGGGTGATGATTCAAAGATGAGGGAATAGATCTGACCTGATGAGACGTTAGGTAGGAAGAAGAGGGATACTTTAGCTTGTGAGCATAACGGGATGTGGCGAGTTTTAAACTGGTTGGGTTGAGTTGGCAGGGATGAGTGCAGGACAGAGTACAACCAATTGGTGGAGTGGGCGTGAGGTGAGAGAATACGAGGGGAAAGGTAAGGCTAGACGCGAGTTGAAGTTGAGGGTAGGACAGAACAGTGAAGGTATGACTCAAATACTGTGTTCTCCCTCCTTGTCCTGTACTGTAAAATGTCCATTTCTTATATTTAAAAGGAGAGAGGATGAGAAAAAGTGTACCACTTCTTCCTTCCCACCTACCTTTCTTATGCCACCTCCTAAACACTTTCTTTGCACACTCATGCCTGATTGGAGTCCCAGTTTTTCACTTTGAAAACAGACTTTCTTTGAGTCATGTCCCTATGGGTGCTCCACTTAAGAAACATGTGTGCCTCACATGCCTTCAATTGAGGATCTTCATTAGTAGCAGCCATTTGGCCGGTGCAAGCATCCCATACATCCTCATACTGCACACCAAGCCTAATTAGGTCTGTGCGGGCCTTTCCTTCTCAACCATCTCAGCTTGAGACGGAACTTTAACACGTCTGCTTCAAGGTGCCTTGCTTAAAACACTTTCTTCCTAGTTTAGTTTTTTTTAGTTTAGTTTAGTACTTAAGAGGATTGTTTTTTTCCCTCTCTTCTTTTGGGGAGGCTCACCTTCCTCAGGACGGCATGCCTATCTCCCCAGGGTTTAAATGCCTCACTTGTCAGTTAGCAAAGGCCACTCCTAGTAAGGTTGCTGTCTAAGAGACGCACTTCTGTGGGATGTGTGAAACTTCTGTCTACCTCTTAAGTTCAGGGTAAGGAACAACTTGGAGATCGAGTTTAGGCTACTTATAATTAAGGCTGTGAGTTTGTCACAGAGGTCATGAAAGTCACGGGATTCTGTGACTTTCCAGGACCTCCGTGACTTCTGCAGCAGACAGTATGGCTGGCCCAGGGACCACCTGAGGAGCTTAGGCAACCCCTGGGCCAGCCACACTGGCCGCTGCTGGGGCAGTCTCAGGGCTGTGGTGCAGGAGGGAGTGGGCGGCGCTTACCTTGAGAGATTCCCTGGAAGCGGCG